GAAGGGTAGAAAAGAAGAATTTAATCCAGTGTCCCTGACAGGAGAGCAAGTGCCTGGCAAGGTGAGTAAGCAGGAACATGGCAGGCTCACTAGAGGACTCGTGGCATGTTTGGAAACAAAGGAGTTGACATGAGTTGAGGAAACAGTAAAAGAAAATCCTGGAGAAAAAGGCTGGGGCAGATGACAGGTCCTGTTATGCTGTAGTGAAGTATCTGGGTTTTTATCCTGAGGAGGAGGAGCTAATTAGCTTTCAGACTACATTTGGAGAACTAGTTATTGGCTTTCTAGAAGTCAAGTTTTTATTATCACAGTAACATGTATATAGGTGGTTCTTAATTAGCCACACACACTTTTTCAACCATTTTCAAGTCAATGCTGTTATGTTCTAGACCAGTCCATCTACTCATCATACTTTTTCCTAAAACCTCCCAAATACTGATAAAATTTTTTTATATTAGGCTAAGCAAAACACAGGAAAATAAATCCACTATTCTCACTAAATGGATAAATGCTTCAGAAGTCAAACAGAAACACTAGTTGTCAATTTTATTACATAAGAATTCATTTTTTCAAAAAGGTAAATAGAAGCTACGCGTTTCAATTTATTAAATCCGAATTCTTAAGTAAAAGCAGCGATATGAATTTCTGATATTTACATATCTATAATAAAATCTACTGAAACTATCATCTAAATTTAAACTTCATCAGTATTTAGGAATATTAATTTTACTGACTTTCCTGCTGTCCTAACAAAAACTGACCTTGAAAATCACATACCACTGCTTGATTAAACATCACATTGTATTCAGGGAACTGCTCTTGGCAATGAGAACAATTCTTGAGATTTTAATGAAAACAGCAGATGGGGCTTTGCCTTTTTAAAAAAATTTTTTTTAATTTATTTTGGAAGCATGCCAAGTTATGTTTTACAGTCCTAAAATCCTCTGTGTGGTTTTAAAAAAATCAAAATTAATCAATGGTTAAAATAAAATGAGTAGCAAAGCAATTCCAAACTGCCTTTGAATATAAACATAAACTGCTTTTATCAGATATGTTTAACTTTTTAATAAATGACAGCATTGTAGGTTTTCAAAGCGTATATATAAACACACATGCATGGCTATGGATTGAACTGCTATAAACCTGACAATAATAAAGGGATAGTAACCCTTTCTTAGGGAAAAGCATCAATTCTCCCAACCCAAATGAGTAACTACCACATCAGTTACTTCAAAACTCTACAAAACAATTTAAATTCTTCTCTTTTTAATACAAGAAGCAAGGTCAGAAATTTAAGGCATAGAACACTTTGGCGAGGTTATTGCTAGAATAACACCATCAAACCTGACCAGGAAGTTTTAAGAAACATTTGACACCTCTGCTTCATCAATGATAGCAGACACAAAACATGCCATTGTTACTATAAAGCCTTAACTACTGTGAAGTTGTAAAAGTGCACACAAGAAAGGCAAAAATGTGAATAGTGAACTCAAAAGAATCCAATTAGCCTTGTTCCCATTTTATTCACTTATATTTATCCAGTGGATAATTACGGCTACAGTAACAGAACAGAAAGTTAATAAGAAAAATAGGTCCTTCATGAAGACCTGTGCTAGACAGGAATTCTCAAATGCCATTTACAGTTTTAAAACCTACCAACAATTCAAATTATTGATATTCCTTCAATTGAATTTTAATTTTAATCAAATCTTTACTATAAGTAAACAATATTTTGTTTTCTCTTTTAATAATTTAGGTCCTTCTTAAATGACTAGTACATGTGTTATGCAAACAAGAGTTCAGTACCAGCTATCAATTTGGAAATCACAATTAGGAACATTCTAAAAGCAAATGGCATCCTTTTAAAGAACTGAGTGACACAGTTTATGGTGGGGAGAAGATCAGGGTGAAGCGGGCAGCACAGAGGTGAAAGAACTCACCAGAGACAGAGTAGAGAACAGAACAGGCTGACTTACTGAAATACATCACTAAGAGACGCAGTGGGCAAGACGGGAGAGGTCTGCCCATGAAGGGAGGGGGTTCTAAGGGCTCTGATACTGTTTTTGCAGGCTTTCTAACGAGGGGTGCCAGTTTGCACCTGTTACCTCCTGGTCTCTGGTACTGGCCTTTGGCAGAGACATGTTCTGGCCTCTGCTCCTGCATTCCCGGTGCAGGGCTGGCCTTCCGGTCAGGGTGGTCGGCTATAATGGCCTTGACCCCGAAGTAGCCTTACCCATTCCCGTACTCCAGCCCCCAAACCTGCCTGCTGGGTTGGGAGTGGGGCTTAGTTTTTAACTTTATTCAACGTATCCCGCTGACACATTTTAACCCACCTATAGTGTTTGTTTAATACCACATAGACTTCTATGACAGTATTTGAATATTTTTTCCTTCTAAAAGATTTGCTGATCACACATGATGAATTCACAAAAGGTTGAACTTGTTTATTTGGGAGGGTTTGGGAGGGCAAACACCTGGCAGTATTTAAGGGCTTGGGAGGGCAAACACCTGGCAGTATTTAAGCTCTCTAGTCTATAGCTCTCCCATCTCTTCTTATTCCCAGACTTACTGGGAAACAAGGAAGGACATCCCTTCCTCTCCCTCATCAGATCTCCTCTCTTCCTCAGGGGCCTTTTGGATTCATCTGTGTGTGTCATATCCAGTTAGCTCCCACCTCTTAGTTGATCTGGTGGTACTGGCTGTCTGGCCTGTGACCCCTCCTTCTTCCTAGCCATGGCCGACTCCACTCTGTGAAAACAAAACCTTCTCAAACAGAAGTGGCCTACTAGTAACACACTGTTCATCTTTTTAGACACTTGTGGGTCTCCTAGCTTTTCAGCTCCCTTTCTAACCCCCTAGCTCCTATTGCTACCTTCTTTATTTTTCTCATCTTAGTGGTCAATTCTGGTCATTTCCATTTAAACCCCAAGTCTTAATAAATAGAGTGTGTTAGCTCTCCACCCATCCAAAGACAAAAATGTACTGGAAATATAATCATTTAATAAGAAGGTATATAATGTCTGGAAGAGAGGGCTAAATTTATAATACCACAGGTAGATAAGCAGCAGGTTTCATAAACTATAGCAATAACTAAGCAATAGCAGTAACTAAAGCAGTCTCTAAACTAAAGGTCGCAGCTAAGTGTTTACCTGTGACACTGGCAATTCAGGATCTGGTTCCTGGAAAGCATTAAGAAGGCAGTAAACATTTTTAAGAAATGCAGTTTCTACAATAAAAGTCATAATGACTAACCCAGTATGTACTGGCAAGATGCAAACTCATTCACTAAAAACACAAATATCAACTAATCTTCCTTCACAACTGTTGAATTCTCAAGAATTCTTCACAACTAATATATATTGGATAGTGCAAAATTACCTATGGTCAGATAATCTGATTGCTCTGACCTCATTTAGAGCATAGAAAACATATCTTAATTACCTATTTAATGAAGATACAGTAGCTCACTATTAAAAACAATTTTACAACTATACCAAGGAAGAATTTCTTATATTCAAATATAATTGGGGAGAAGAAAAATGTAAACCCCACTATTTCACAACGACATAATAGCATTAGTGACTGAAGATAAATTAATTCTGCCGATAAGGTTTGCTTAGACATTTTTATAAAGACTATGCAATATAAGTTCTGCCAGGTAAATGATAAACTCAATGTTTTCTTTTGCCAAATCACATAGAAATTCATCGGGGGGGGGGAATCAGGAAAACATCTACAATTAGCAAGATGTCTACAGTTAGCAAGCGCCTTTGAACACTCATTCTGCAGCCTGTTTTAATGGGGAAGCTACTAGGAAACAGAAAAAGGAAAAGAAAAAAAGAAGAGATCCTTGCTTTCTACAGGTCTAAAATCCAAAAATCCTATGTATTTTTCTAAGTGTATGTGGGCAAGCAGTGTGCAGACCATCTGGACACATGCAGGGACAAGCAACAGCTTTAGCATGACACATGGCAGCAACAGAGAGGAGGTTACACTAGGCTAAAACCCAAGCACCCTTGGGGTGAGATTTAGAGTAGTTAGCAATCAGCACATAGCGATCAGGGGTTTTAAAGTCCACTATGCAATAAAATAAATAAATAAAGTCCATGATGCATAAGAAAAATCTGGAAAAAGTATATTTTGGCCAGATCCCATAGTCTACATTTAGAGAGACACTGTCAGAGAATAAGACAGCAGAAGTACCTCCTTCTACTCTTCCATTTCTTTGTACACATCTGTATGACCCATTATCTCATTTGAGCCTACTATCAACCATCTGAGGGAGGCAAGTAGGTATTATTTTGCAGATAAGGAAACAAATTCAGAGATGTCAAGTAATTTTCTCAAGGTCACGTCAATGCTTGAGAGAAAACAGAACTCTTAGATATTAAAAAAAAAAAAAAGAGCTAGAAATAAGCTAGGATTGAAGGGTGAAAAAAAGGAGACACGATAAGTTTCCCACAAAAGGGGGAAAGTAAGTTTAGCAGAGAGAATGTAGACCGTGCTTAAAAGGGAAAAGGAAACTAAAGGAGGCAGAAATCACAGATAGCAAAAAAGAAGCTGGATGCTTGTTAGACTGTCCAAGCTGAAACGGCCGATTCAGCCACAGAGGCCTCTGCTCACTGAGGAAGGCCTTCGTGCCTCTGTCTCCTTCTGCCCCTGCAGCACACAATTAGATGCACCATGTAGGTGGCAAGCACCCAAGAAATGAAAAGGTCAGAGAGGAAAATAAAAGGTGTAGAGACAGGTGTGGTTGTGTGAATGGAAAATGGAGAAAGGACTAAATAGGTGTGAGGCAGAGGCCACATTCATCCCATGGCATTCTCCTGGCACCCTGGTAAGCCCTGAAAACATCCCACAGGGGAAGCATATAACTGGATAAATTACAGTAAATGTACTAAATGCTCCAGGCAAGCTATAGACATATTGTAGATCATTTAGAAGGAGTGCAGAAAGCAGAACACAAGAAGGGTAAGAAGGGACTCAAAGGGAGGGAGATTATTCTGGAAATTGAGAGTCAATGATCTATCGAGAGTCAACAGCATTTGTCATCAGTTTCACTGGCCACTTTCCTCACAGTTGTGTCCAGGTTCCAACAATCCCATCAGAAGAGCAGAAGCACCAGAATCCTTCACACAAATCTCCCTAGCCAACGTAGAAGCAATTGGTAGCTAACATTTCTGATCACTTACCATGTACTAATAAATTAAAACTTACAAAAACCCTTTAAGGTACAAATACTGTCAACCCTATTTTACAGATGAGAAAACTCTGAGGTCAAGGTAGAGAGGCAGGATTGGAACCTGGACACTCTAGGTCAAGGGCGTGCACCTTGCTGAGTATGTGACATCAGGGCAAGGCTGGAAAGCAGCTAAAGCAGCGTAAGCCCAGAGTGGGCTGATCTGGAGAGCGTTCAGGGACAGCAGGAGTATGAAGAGAACGAGTCAAGATGTTTTAATTTGGAGAGGGCAAAACTTTTTTAAAAAATGACTTGAGATCTTCATCTTCAGGAGTCTCTCAGTTCCACTTTTGTGCTTTAAATTAATCCACCCACATAATGAGCCACAAATTAGGTTCACTTGATCTAGCAAATTTATCCATGAATATCCATGAGGAGAAGGCATCAGCCTTCAGCCAAGTCAGGAGACCTGGGCTTGAACAACCTCAGGGAGCCACTTAGCTGTGTGACCTTGAACAAGTCCTGCGACTGCCATTAGCCAGTCCTCTTGGACTGCAGCTATAGTGTCTACTGTACGGGGTAGGAGTCTTTTAATTTATAAAACTGCATTCTGAAGACTATCTGATAATACACTAAGAGGCCTTTCACAGATGTGCTCCTTGTTAATAACACATAAGGTGGCAGCACCTTCAGTGAGAATGTCACACTCTCAGAATTTCTCTAGGCAAACATTTAAGTAATGAACAGAAAAGCACCAAATTCTCTTCTACTTCCCTCTTCATAGTCAAGACTGACTCCCAGTAGGAGCCCATCAAACTGAAACTTCCCTTTAAATCTCCTTCCAAGTGAGCGAGTATGAGGACAACGTGGAAAATCTAGGGGCCCTGCCTAGAACCAGCTGATTCTCACTAGCATCAGCGTCAGCTCACATTGGCTGCTCGCCTCCTTCCTCCCTGGGGTCAGGCCTTCTCTTAGGTTGCTGCTATTGCTTTAGGGAATTTGTTCTCCCGATAATTCAGAGTGCGATTCAGAATGTGACTCCTTAATTATCACCAATACTTATTCTGGCTAATGAGTCTACCCAGCTCCACTCTTAAACTACCATATCATGATTCAGAATTTTGAATAACAGGAAGGAAGAAAACTGTAAGAGAACAGGAACAGGGCTGTTTCAGAAGGTGAGGGCGAGGCAGTGACCAAGTGGCCAGGTGGATGTGGAGGCCGATGTCAGCAGGCGTACAAATTCGTAAAAGATTAAATCAAAAGACTAAGCCCAGCTAAATCTCCACGGCCCTGGAGAGGAAATAAATTAGGTGTTTTTTGGCTTGGGTCACCAGATCATTGTCTCTGGCAGTCACTAACACGTCAGCTGACTGGTAAAAACACATCACTGGCTCCATGTCTTTCACCCAAACAAGTGGTCTTCAGCCTTCTCTCTCCCTTCAAGCCATTTGTGAAAATTTCCTCCTCTCCTGAACATCTCTTGCTATTATCAGATTGGGAGTTGGAGATAGGATGTGCATTAGAAAAAGCTCTCGCTCCCTGATAAATAGCACTCCCACCCTGGAATCACTGACTTAAATCATTGGAAACCCTATCAGCAACCCACCCCATTAGTACAAACATACTGTCTTTTAAAATTCCCACTGCCTGTGAAACCTCAATATTTTATGAAGGATTTCATGATAAAGGAGCTAAAAATCAGGGCTGATTTTAAAACCACGAGTCTGACATATGGAACACGAAGAACAGTAATCAGATTAAGCGACTGATCAGGGTGACCTGCATGGGGACAGAAGCCACATCTGCTCTCAGTCAAGCTGCTGTGTGCATACCCGGTCCACACGTCTCCCTTTCCTCGGTACTCTTCTTTGAACCGCTTTTCAAGGCAGGATGGAAAGAATGCTTTGGGAAAGAAGGGAGGAAACTCCTCTCTATGAATTGCTTTTCTCCCTGCATTTTTATCAAAGAGAAAGACTGATGAACAAACACTTAAGAGGTCAGAACCTGAATTTCCTTTTTGCTTACAGACCCTTGGCTCTCTGTTTCTCCCCATTTTGCATCTGGGAAAAGAAATCCATCTCCACGAATCCTTCTTCCTGGAGACACATACCATGTCATCAGTCAATTTACCCTCCAGTCCTTGTAGCCAATAAAAGATGTGTGATGCCAAGGAAATATATCACAGTGTATCAGGCACCGTGGCCAGGCTGCTGTAGGACTCAAAAGTAAATGAAATTGAGCTTTCCTACTGGAAGGTACAAGGTATTACTCAAACATTTTGATGACAAGATACCGAAATGTACCAAAACGTTAAATGTGGATCAAAAGCCTTAGAGGTGGGCTTCATCTCAAAGCACGGATGCATTAGAACCAAAATACTATCTCTGTTAAGTCCCCTAGACCAGTTTATGAAGAAAAGTAACAACAAAAAAAGAAATACTTGAGGAAGATTCTCTTTAATCTGGGAGGAAAATGAGCAAAACCAAAAGTGAAAAAAATAACATAAGGAAAAAAAGCACTATTTTTGTTTTGGAAAAAAATTAGCAAGAGCAAAAACGACCGCATTTGGTCCTCAGAGAACGAGCTTAGTTTCCCTGCTCTCCTATGTGTGGAGGGCTTCAACGTGACTCAGTTTGGCAGCTCAGGAATGTGATGCAAAGAGCTGCACAGGATGTCTTCCACTTTAAAATGCAGAAGTGATGCCTCCCTGGTGGCACAGAAGTTAAAGTCTCAGCCAGCCACTGCTCCAACCTCTGCAGCATGAGTTCAGTCCGTGGCCAGGGAGCTGACCCACATGGCGCCGCAGACCTCTCCTGTCTCCCCGCTGCTCCCCTCAGCAGTGTATTTCAGTATATCTGCCTGTTCAGCTTCCCAGTCTGTCTCTGGTGAATCTTCTCACTCCCAACCCTACCCCTCTGGCCTACGCCCCAGTTCTTTATGCATAAGTAAATAAAAATAAATCTTTTTTTAATACAAATAAAAAGATAGAAAAACAAAGCGAAGGGAGTACTGTCAACTTTCCAGCACCCTGTCGCAAAAGCCCAGCCGGGTAAGGTAACATCACCTTAAACTTCTATGCTTCTAATTGTTCTGGCAATATATACAGCTCCTCCTTCAATAAACTACCTCAGTAAAACAGTTTAAAAGGGTGGGAAAGGAAAAGACAGAAATTTCTTTTCTTTAATATTTTTAACATATTCATTATCACATCCTTCATTTTTATACAATGGAAAAGATGTTTCTGGTAGGCCAACTCTAACATTCATAAGAGCAAAACAAATCAAGCCCAGCTCTTACCAGCAAAACTAACAGAATAACATCTTTTAAAACAGTTCTGTGCAATCAGAAGTTGTATATCACATTGGGAAGTACTATTTCAACTCCTTAACACACAAGACAATGGAAGAGGCCAGGACCTAACCAGACCCGTGGGCATAAAGATCTTTACCGTGTCACTGGGTCACCCAACAGCAACAGTAGAGTAGGATCCTATGTGTGTTTTTCGTGATGATTATCAAAATCATAATTCCACTAAACATAACTTACGATTAAGTCTTAATGTTCCAAGAGGACTAATGGGAGATGTAAAAAAGGCCAAAGAAAAAATACCTAAGCTCGTATCATGTTTAGTGGCTAATGTGGGAGATTTTAAATGAAATATTGAATATGGTTATCCTATTCTAGGTAAATGAAAGGAGTCAAGATGACCTCCTTTAAGCTCCTTCTTAACAATTGATAAAAACGTTGTTGAATTGTCTATGTAGTTCCCAAAGTGATACCATCACCTCAGGCTAGCGAGAGAGGTGTCTGTCCCTCTGTTTCCCCCGCCAAAAGGAACCAGTAAGTTTTAGAATAAATTAACTTAATTAAAATTGGACAGGTTAGCTTAGGTCAGGACTCCTCAGAGCCTTTCACCCAAATACACAAATATGCCAAAATTCTTTACCATTTAAATGAAATCTTTAAAAAGGCACAGGAGGTGGGGAAATATAGAGAGAAAGGTCTAGAAACACACAGCACTGTCACTGTCACATATGTGCCAAACAGGCCTGAAAAGGAAACGGGGTCAACTAGCTTTGTGTTGATAACTTTGGACCAACTATTTCATCTTTGCATCCTTGTGCGCTGTCTATAAAATGGAGGAAATATACCAGCTTCCTAAGACATTTGATTACATGAGATAACATGCAAGCCTGACACAGAGTAAATAATAAATGTTACCTTTTATTTTTTGTTACCCACTTTGCAAGCATAGCTATAGATATGTTATAGAACTGTCTGGCAAGTACTTGATAGAGGTCACTGATACATCGAATACATCTAAAGTCCTAATCACCGAGCCTAGCACAAACTCAACCTGAATTCACAAGTGCAATACAGAGTGCCACAATGATTATGTCTGTAAGATTAGAGGATCTGCACAGTTCATTATAACACTGTGGCTTTGCCTACAACAGTTCACAATATGACATTTCCTAGAATGTTAACTACATGGATATCTAACCTTTGCTCACTTGGTCAAGAAAAGATTACAGAGGCCAGGCAAGTTTCAGAACTATTAGACTGAGCAAAATTAGTTTTCTTCCTTCAGAACTTCTCAGAGCACTTAGGATAACTCTTCAAAGTCTAAGAAGGGGATATACATTTCCCAAATGTGTTTAATTAGGAAACTTTTTCATTAAGGAGCTCTTGGGACTAGTGTTCCTGGAACACTAAACGGAAACTTTCCTAACTCAATGGAAAAAGCACATAAAGTTCTTGCAAATCATTGCATCTAGAACAATGGGGTACAGCACAGATTTGTAATAAACTCTTACTGTGCAAACAGGGTCCCCAAACATTTGATCATGGAAACCCATTCAGTAGTTAGGCAGTGTCTGTGGGGCCAAGAAACATACTTGGAAAAATACATGCTTACAGAAATGTAATCCACTAACTAACATGAACTAAACAGTTAGAGAAACTAGCCTACTTCTCCCACTACCAAGCAGTGTTCTAGCCAGAAAGGTACTGACTATTCACCTGAAGCCTACAATGTTAACCTCATCTAGCTGGCTATTCTCCATCCATTTGCTGGGAGCTAAAGCAAAGCCTAGAAGTGTTCACACTCAGCCAGGCTTATGTAACTGCTCTCAATTCTCCTTTTTTCCCCTAGCATCTCCAAGGCAACACCACTAGTGGAAAAGCTGAGAAACTAGCCCAAAGTAGGTACAGTCTACATTTACTAGAAGCACTCACAAACTGCCACAACTGTACACCTATTCACCCTTTTCCTCTTTTTGCCTCTTCCAGAAGTTACCTGTCCACCAGAGTTGCACATCTTACACACACAGTACCTCCTCTTTGTCACTCTTTACATAATTTCCCTCTTTGGGAGAATTTAAATAACTCTTGAGGTAGTTTAAGCTGGCTCTGGATGTCATCGCTCCTTTCAGGGTGGCCCTCTTAATAGATTAATGTTATCTTTCCCGTCCTAGATTTTCATTCCTGGAACTTGCATTATTTGCCTCAAGATGCACTTAGGCGCCAGAATCAAAGGCTCCTTCATGCTTGGGTAACAGTCTAAAGAAGTGTAAGGATCAACCCATCCAGACGGGGGTAAAGACAGCTATTTCAAAGTTACAGAGCTTGACGTTTATACATAATTGTTTTGTAAATTCGGAACGCCCAGACAACGAACAAGCTCGAGAGCCCACACATATGCACGTATTAGTAAATCACCAAAGTAACATTAAGTAAGGGCTCTAAGCGTTCACTTAAGGGACACTTGGGAGGAAAAGAGGCGACTGAAGCTTGCGGAGGCGGAAGTCTGGGTGGAGCTCTAACGCAGGACGCCGGCACCCGGGGCCACGCCAGGCAGCCACCCGCGGGGCCCGGCTTCCAGGGGTCTCGCTGCAGGTGCCCGTGCGGGCCTGACGGCCCACCTGGCCCTGAGTATTCCTTCCCAGGGCCCCCACCCGGAGCCTGGGGACCCCTCCAGGCTCTCGGCCTCATCGCCGGGACCCACTGACAGGGTCCGGCCGGTACCTGGTCGTAAGGGGACTTCTCCAGCATCTGCGTGCACAGATCGGCGCAGAGCTGGAACTTCCTGCGCCTAAAATAACTCCAGGCCAGGAACAGCGGCTCCATCTCCGAGCCCATGGCTGCCGAGGGCGGCCCGCGAAAGGACGGGGCCCAGTCTAGGAGGGCAGCCGGGGGCTGGCGGCGTCCTGTTCTGCCCGGCAACGCGCGGGAGCAGGGGCCTTCCCTGAGGGGCGGCCGCGCCGTGCCTGAGAACAGGCAGAAGAAACCTACCGAAGAAGAACCCAACTTCAGGGCTTACCAACATTTGGTACAAAAACAAAATACTTTTAAGGGCTACCTATTTTGTTAATTTTGAGAAAACGCTGTGGCTAAATTAAGAGGCAATAACTTAGACACCTCAGACTGGGGTCTTGCAGCCTCCCAGGGGAGGTACGGTTGCCTAGCAGCCGAACGCTCCGCTTACTCTGCAAACGCGAGATCAGTCCCAGGAGTTGACCCTCTCTCAGGTCACTGGTATTTCTCCACCCCTTCACGCATCCCTACCCCCTTTATTTACCCTCTGACTCTAGATACACACACGAGTACAGTCTCTTCAACACCATCCCACTCATCAAAACCCTAAAAAAAAGTCTTAAAACTCTCCATTCTGTTTCTTGAAATCTTTGTCGCAGAATCTCAATTGACCTGATTGAAAGGGACACTGGAGATGGATTAGTCCAATCTGTTCATTTTACAGATGAGAAACGGATAGGCTCAAAGAGGAAGCATTGTTTACTTAAGGTCTCATGGAGTTAGGCTTCTGTATTGCAATCTAACTGACTACAGACCAATAGTGTTTGTTAATTTGATCATGAACAGGGATCCTGGTTCATAAATAGTTGACATTTTCACCAAACAAGATTAATGTATTCAAAAAAAAAAAAAAGACTTCAAAGGAGCTTTGTGAAACACCATCTCTAAGCCCTTGTTCTTTATCAAATGTTTACCTGTATGGTGTGATTTCTTCGGGCTTGATTCTGACATCCCTCTAGAGGTTTATACAGAGGACAAATATCTTTAATGGTTGTGTAAAGAGAAGTGTGACTAGACTAATTCCAGCTAATCTGGGTTTATTCGTTATGGAAGGCTAGGAGATCTTTTTCCTTCAGGCTAAGGAAGATTCTCTAAAAGACCTAAGAAGATTCCTAAGAGAAAACTTACTACTAGAGAAAGAAGAGGGTAAAAATGAGTATCAAAGAGCTTTTTGATAAGATCCAAACTTCCTATATAGATAAGAAATAAACTGACAACAGCCCTTAGCAAGGATAATTTTCTCAAATTACTAAAATACCATAGTTTAATCCAGAAATTTCTGTTTCCTAGATATCAAAATGAAATTTACATTTCTAAACTAAGAAATGAGTTGTGAGTAGTTTTTTTCCCCCCTTTCCTAAGCAATCTTTCTTGAATTTTTGCATCTTGGAAGCAACTATGAGAATTATGGTTAGTACAGTTATGTGTGCTGCAGTTGGTCCATTTGTGTTTCCTGGAGGTACCTCTAGAAATGTGATCTGCTCTAGTACAGCAGCCCTTTGTTCTAAAAGTCCAGTTTTTAGCACCACACACGGTGGCAACTGGCAATTGGCTTATTATTTTTTCCAGGGTCCATTTGTCTTTTGATACAGTGTGAGCAGATTCTAAATCTGGCTCCATATTTGACTTATTTTTAAAGTTTTTAAAATAGATATAATTTATGAAAAGTTACAAAAAGACGGGTGTCCCCTTCCTCCCTCACAATTCCTTGTGCGGGTCCCTCCCCAAGCTGCGAGCTGGGTGGAAGAGGACTGACTTCCCCGAATAGAGACCAACCGGTCTTCGGTATAGGAGTAGCTGCGCTCCCCTGCTAGAACCTCCAAAGAAGCTCTCAAGTTACAAAAGTTTTACAGAGTTCCCATACTCTCCTTATCATACCTCTATTTTTAGCACCTTATATTTTCATGGTATATATACATACCTACATGTCACAACTCAAGAATCATTGCGTTAGCCCCACGTTTTATTGGGATTTCAATAGTTTTTCTACACCAAGATCCCACTTTGACTATCATGTTGCATTCAGTCAGCTTGTCTCCTTTGCCTTCTCTGGCTATGACCGTTTCTCACACTCTCCTTGGTGATGATAATCTTGACAGTTTTGAAGATTGTTCAACAAGTGTTTTATAGAATGTCTAGGGATCTTTTAAACATAGTGCCCAACTTTCATCCCTAGAAATTTGGACTAAATGGTTTGAGGTAAGACTGGAGTAATTTTAAGTTTCCCAGGTAATTCCAATGGGCAGCAGGGGTTGAACAACCATTCTATTCTGTTCTAAATGGTCCTCTTTATATTGAGATAATTGCCAATTTCCTAGAAAAAAACAAGTTTCATAAATGAGCTACATCTATCCATACATACATAAATGAGCTACATCTATCCATACATACATACAAAGAAGAGGCATTACAATAGTTAGTTTAATATAATCCATTTAGATTTTTTCAGAAGACTTTTTTTTTTTTTTTTTTTTTTCAGAAAAGTCAGTGGATGAGTCAGTGGATGAGTGCAAAACACTTAGCAAATTTCAGTGTTAGGTATATCTAAATGTACCATTAAGTGTGCCTTTAAAAGTAGGCAATGTAGTAATAGGAAAGTCATAAATATAATATTTCCTGGTGAAGAGGGTAGATAAGAATTACTTTTGGAGAAATGAAGCATAAACAACTTAATCCCTTTGAAAGGGTCAATTTCACAATCAGAGTTTGATACCAGTTGCTGGATCCTTATCTTTCACTTTCTAGCAACTAGATAGCTCTTTAGGTTAATAGGGTTTAAAATCAAATATCAAAGATAATGTAGCTTTGAAGAGCAAAGTTTAAATTTTCTTAAATGTGAAATTGCACATTTTCAGACCATTTACACTTAACACCCAAAAAAACCAAAGTATGAAAGGAGATAATCTCTTGGGCAAGTATTTGTGCAGGCCAAGTGCTTGCTGATAAGAACACGGAGATATCAAGACAGATGTCCTGCCCAAAGGGCTCAGTATTTAAGAGTAGTTAGTGGAAAAAGCATTGGACTGGAGGCTGTGTTTTCTCAGGCAAATTAGAAATCAAAATAGAATGGTGATTTCAAAGTAGGCTCTGGAGCCTGATTTCCTATATCTGAACCTTTGACTGTGCCATCCATTAGAGGTAGAGACCTTGAGCAAATGGTTTAATGGCCCTAGGCCTCAGATATATATTTCATCCAGAAAGTAATGTGTGTTCACTCTATTATTTAAGAATTTTTTACTCTACTTTAAGGGACATGAGAATCAATGACGCAGGGTAAAGTATAAATGGTAAATACATCATTCACCTATAGGATATGTTAAACATAGGCTAAGTAGGTATTTATGTGTTAAACAGATTGGAAGCATAAACCAAGTTTTATTTGGGAAAAAAGGGAAATGAAAATAAACTCAAAATATTCCTAAAACTAGATTAGCTTTATCTACCTTAAATTGGCCACCCATTGGTACCCTCAGTTTATCCTACTCATGCTTAAAACATACACTGCTTTTCATCAGATCACCATGAAGCTACCATTGTGATGATGCACACTCACCTCTTCACCTCTCCAATAGAATAAGCACCACGGAATCTCCATCCCTGAACTTTCTTTCTTGCCCTCAACTCTAGTCCTTGTAATCAAAATCTGTCTGCAATAAAGGCAGACAAATATGAATATAAGAACTGGGGTACAGGCCAGAGGTTGGGGGGTGAGAGGATTCATCAGAAGTGGGGTGGGGGGGGTCAGATGTACTGAAATTTACTGCTGAGAGGAGCAGACAATTTGTCAGGAGAGGTCTGCCATGCCATATGGGTCACCTCCTTGGCCAGGCATCTAACTCATGATGCAGTGGCTAAGGACAGCTTCATGGTGCTGTGTTTTCACCCATTGCGCCACCAGGGAGGGCCCGTCACAGCAAGCCTTAAGTGGATTTAAAAACTAACTGGTTTAAGCGTCTTGATTTGGTCTATGAAACTTTCAGCCTCAGGACCTTTGGGAAAGGTCACCATAACATTTCCTCACAGCATATATGATGGTGATGATGGTGATTGTGACTATGTTATCAAATGGCTGTGACAATCAATTCGATTTGATTCAAATAAGGGCATTAAGTGTCTTTTCAAAGAGCATAGAAACCCACTGGGTTGGAAACTAACAATTTATACAACACGGGATTGCCTCATTAGTCAGATGACATTCATTGCCTGCTAGAAACAGAACCCTTTGAGACAAACCAAAGAAACCAGAGATAGTTTTTGTTTGTTCTTTGAGGAAATGTGATAGTTATCCACTGATATTGATATTGATGCAAACATGTTTTTAAATGCATATCATGAGATGTCACAGACACCAAGTGTAGAACCTGCTTTCAGCCAAACAGACCCCTTTAGCTACCCTCTTTACCAGGAAGAGCTTGCGTCAAACTGCGATGTTGAGATTTCTAGTGAAAATTAAACCACCTGACTCAGCAACTTGGTGACTGCAAAGACACAAGAGACACCTGCCTCACATCGCAATCTTCTGTTTGGGGACTTCTGCCCACCAATCAGGTAAAGACATTTGAACTTAAGAACCAATGTACGGGGCCTTTCAGGTGGTGCAAGGGGTCAAGTCTCAGCACTATGAGGCAATTTATAGTGCAGCAAGTGTTGGATCCCCAGCCAGGGAGCCAACCCACATGGCACAGCAGATCTCTCTTTTCTTACCTGCTGTTCCCCTCAGCAGTGTATTTCAGTCAATCCACCTGTTCTGCTCCCCACTCTGTCTCTGGTGAATCCTCTCATATCCCAACCTCCATACCTCTGGCCTACACCCCAGCTCTTGTATGCATACATAAATAAATAAATCTTAAAAAAAAAAGTGGAAAGTTCATCAAAATGGCTTAAAATCAAACACTTTCCTGCCTGACCCTTAATTTAAAACTCCTTATGTCCTGACTCTGGTGGTGCACACCTTGGCATGACCTCTTGGTCATGCACTCAACTCGTGATTCCAGTTCTCAGATAAATGCCTTCCTGATTATCATACAGCCGGATTACTTCTCTCAGGTTGACAAGAGTAAAGCTTGAAAACAAATGAGTTCAATAGAAACGGATGGGAGTCATGAGGGAAACCTGTGCAGGTACCTGGCAGAGACACTGCTCTGAGTGGTTCTATCTCTTGTCCAG